TTGGCCATGTCATGTTATTTTAGTCTGTGCTGTGATCCTCCAAAAATTAATGGCCATAGTTTGGAGACCCGAAATCATCTGTACCCCTGGCACTGACTCCTACATTTCTAATAAAGACAATGCTGTAATGAGCACGTATGGTGGACGATTGGTTAGCGCGTCTGTCCGCCCCACAGGGTTCGATTCCGGCCTTCCTGGGTTTTCCACGGGCACTCCACTTTCCTCCCACATTCCCAAAAATATGCATGGTAGGTTGATTGGACACAATATTGTCCCTGTGTGCGATTGTGAGTCTAAATGGTTGTTGTGTCTGCATGTGCATTTGCATTTCGGTTGGCTGGCAACCCATTCAGGGGGTACCCCTTAGACTGCCGAGAAAGGCTCCGGCACAGCAGCGAACCTCGTGAGGATAAGTGGTTCGAATAATGGATGTATGGACTGTGCCGTAAAGCTACCTAATGACATTTAACACACTCAGTGGCAGTGCAAATGCCTGTATGTCACACTACAGTCTATAGCAGGGATCATCAAACTTTTTTAGACTGAGAGCTCCTTCTTGGCTTCTGATTAATGCGGAGGGCTACCAGTTTGATTGTATGCACTTTTGAAATACATTTGCTCCAACTACCCTCATATGTTATAATTAATGATATTCATTTCTGAGAAGACACCGATCACATGAGCGATTTCTCACAATGATTATGAAAAAGATAACTATCTGCCAATGTTCACATTTTGAATTGATCACTTCGACAATATTTCTATACCCCTTTCCCACTGAAATTAGTGGGTAGTGGTGATCCGTGGCGACACGCAACCAATTGGCATATTGTCCCTTTCCCATTGACCAACAGAAGGCGATTCTGCCCCCCACCCCCCTTCCACCACTTTGCGTCTGGTTACGTCACCACGCTGTGATTGCAGACACTGGCCAACCAGTCAGAGATGAAGAGCCAATTTTTTTACTGTGTTACTGCAGAGAGCCACATCATACCCTGCGCGCGCGCGCACACACACACACACACACACACACAC